CTTCTGAGGCTGAGAAGTGGAAGAAAGTTCCCTCTTTTTATGGGGAAGATGTTCCTTACCTTTTACAATGCTTTTTGTAATTTCCTGAATCATTTCCATTATATGCTTTTTTCTTTTTCTTTTGGAAGGGAATGCAACAGGGAGAAAAGCAGTAATTATTGTATCATTAAAGAGGGGGGTACATCATGCACTTATCCAGAATGCCTCCTCCTGTCTTCCATGGGAACTGAGTTAGAGCTTTTCCTACAAAAATGGTAAAAAGATGCTAGAGATGACAGTTGCCCCTGACCTGCCAGCTGCAGCAGTTTAACTGGAGCACTTCAGTGTGTGCAGCTACAGATTCATGCTTTACACGGCAACTTACAGGGGGAAAACCTGTGGCATGAAAATGCAGGTAACAGGAGGCAGCAGAAATCCAGCACGTGCTTCAGCATTCTCCATGAAGTGAAACAAGATGCATCAGTAAGAATCTTCCCTTCAGCTGTTCCCCTCCCTGAAGCTGTTCCCTTCATTTTTACTTGAAGTCGGTGGTTCCATACCAAAGAAAGAGCAGTGAAAGGTAGATCCTGAGTGCATTATCTCTTGACATAAATAATAAGAGACCAGAAGCTCAGCCAATCACCTGAGAGTAATTTACTGAACAGCTTTCAAAGCTAAAGCATTCAGTGGTAGGAACTGAATGCTTTCAGGGCAGGAGCCCATTTGTTCTTTCACAAGGCAGTGAGGAGGCACTAAAACCCCTGACTGGTGTGAATGCTGGCATGTAACCATGCTTGGGTTGTGAAGAGAAAGTCATCCTGGTCTGCTGGAACATGCTTGGGCACCCCAGTGGTATCAGAACCTCACTATGTGCCAAAACAACATGGATGTGACTTGGTCACTGTGGATGATCTCAGAGTGGGACATGAATACCCATTGATTTATTGATAGTGCTATAGCCCTGTGACCACATTCTTTATCCATTTACATCATATACAGCTATTAATATTGGAGCAGCACAGAAACACTTCCAGCCTGCATTGATCTGGCAGAAATGCCAACACAGAGCTCACAGATGTGAGGCTGAATAGCTCAGCTCAGTCCAAGTAACTGCTAAGACTATAATCCAAGGAGACAGTTCAGGTAGGAGAAGGGAG